CCTTTACCATGAGTCAAGAACCTGAAACTTGCGGGGGGGGGGTAGAGTGGAAGCTGGAGTGGCAATGGGCTCTCCATTGTAGAGGATGTAGCATATTCTGAGAGGAGTTAGATGGGGATCAGAGACAAGGGAGAGGAAAGCAGCAGTGACCTGGGGGGAGAAAACCACAGCACAAACTGATAAGCCATGCCAGCAGTACTCCACAAAACATTTCAGTTGGAATAATGCCTCTGGCTTTTCACACTAGGAGTGCCTTAGGGACAGATGTTGGATACTGCCAGAGTTTCCTGCATAATGTAGACAGTACTGCAGGTGATTCTACCTACTGGGATAATGTGTGGAGCAGCCCTGAAGAAAGGATGAAGTAAAAAGTCTGGATTGCCCAGTTTTGGGGGTAGCAGAAATTCAGAAATGTGTCTTTTTCTATAAAATCTACCAAAAAACCCAAACAAAACATTCCATGGAGACTAGCTGTACAGACTGCATCCTCGAACCCTAAGCCACAGAAGCCACTCCCACTAATATCTATGGGAACCAAGCTATGCAGATCCAGGGTGTAATGTGACCTTAAAAATGAATGAGATGCATACCAAGGGTCAGAGCACTGAGGCTCAGGCACACATGTACGTGAGGCAGCAGCAGCCAAATACAAGCCTGAGGGTCAGATTCTCTTGAGCTGCAGTCCCATCCCCCTTCCCTGCCTCTGGGCTAGTCACGCAGCTGCTTTGTGCCTCAGCTTCCCCATGGATAGCAATTAAGGATATTTTTATTTTCAGAAGTAGCTCAGACAAGTTCACTCCCAAGTTGTTGAAATATGGAATCTCTCTCTGCAAGAATAACAGCAACATCTACTAAGGAAAGTGCTGGGTCACACATCATTATCCGTAGCAGTGTCTCCCTTAGCACCATATTTTATTTTTACCCCAAATGTCAGCAACCTGATCTGCATCTTCTCACACTGGCTGAATAATACTACCCCATTTTTCATTTGGCTTCTTCATGAAATATTCATGCTGAGGCACCTTAGGTTGAGAATGTGGGGGGTCAACCCGAGAGCACAGAACGCAAGGTCACATCAGGTGGATTTTCTAAATAGGAATAACCCAAGGGGTAACCTTTACCCTGGCCCGTAGCACACAGAGACAGAAAGGGTCAGACAGTGGGATTAAAAGGCAACTATTATTAAAACAGAAGCAAACAACTTTTCTTAACAATATACAAACTGCAACATTTCTGAACAGGACTGAGGCAAGAATCTGTCATTTTCAAGTAATTTCATGTGAACTGAGTCATTTGATGTTGGCCTGGAGAATTTCCTGCAAGACAGCCCCCATGCTAGCCTTCAGAAGCTAGGTTAGATAGAATTTAACATCTTTCATTTCAAGCTAACTTACCTATGAATAATCATCATGTTTCAGTGAGGAAGGGAAAAAATCCCCACTCTCCCCCATGAAATAATGTTGCACCATGAGGAGGGTCATGGGGATTTTAGGCCTTTCTCTGAAGAACCCAGCTTTGAACTTCATCAGAGGCAGAAGACCAGGTCCTGTGGGTCATTTCTCTATATGGCTCTGGCAATCCCCTTGTTCCGACATTAGGAGTTTCCCTACAGAGTTTCACTACCTTTTGCACCTATGTACCTACCTGGCAGTCTGCTTCCACTCCAGGCCCTCTGATGTGTTGAGCAGCTCGTTGAGCTGTATAAATAACAGCGGGCAGCTTGCATCATTCTCCTCCTCTTGTTGCAGCATGAAGCCAACTCTCTCAGCTGCTGTGGAGACTCTGGAAGTGAAGATACTTCGGCCAACTGCTTGGCAAATTACCACAGAGTTTCTGCTGTGGGGCTCATTTGGACCGGTCTCTTCGCTGCTGGCCAGACCAGTGTCTGGCCCCACACAGGGAAGGAGGCCCCCACTTGCCTCCATTTTCATTGCATCAGACAGCTGGTGTTCAGGTACCTGCTCCCCCATGTGTGTCAGAATGCCACTTTCCTCTGCAGCAGAGTCCTTGATTCTCGTCTCGCCCTGAGCGGTGCAATAACTCGTGAGATTCCAGTCATCCTGCCTTTATAACAGTACGGAGCCTGTTTAGGACAAACACAGCTCGACACCTGGAAGCACAGCCCAAAACACTGTTATCAAAATAAGGAGCTTAGCCTGGCAAACACTAGCCATGGCTTGCTCATGCTGCCCTGAGCCAACCAGCCAGTCACTGGGCATGGATGTGAGCAGCTTTCGGGGCTGACCCATCTAAACACTTGCCAAATGTACACGATTTGAAAGATCAGACAGTAGCTCGGGATGTTCTCGGGAAGCACTGAAATCTGAGCTGAGGAGTCAGGTAGCAATGAAACCACCTGACATCTGAGAGTGAAAGCATTGAAGACCAAAGGAGTCAGGCTTTGCAAATGGCTCAAATGAACCTGAACCACCTGAACCAAACCCCACTGGGTGTGAAATTTCTAGGACAACCCTTCCTTTATCTCCTCTTATTCATTCTATCTCCTTTTCTCTTTCCTTCCAGTCTCTCTGCAAGTCTCTTGTTAGCTATGGAATAGTTGTATTTTATGCTGCCTGGTGACACAGATCTGGCACACTCTGATCTGCTGGCCCATGACAGGAAGGAAGGTGTGGAACCAGTGTTTTCTGGGCAGGGATGCCACTCACTCTTGGTGCTCACCCTGTGCCAAAACACCAGCCATTGCCTGACTTGCTGATGGCATTGTCATGTGTTTGTCTCTTGTCTCATTTCCAGTTTGATGGCTCTAGCAAGGAGTTCACCATCCAGAACCCACCACCAACATCAGCTGTCTGACACAAAGGTCTTAATGCCAAGCCAGGCAACTGGAACTGTAGCTGTACATCCCTTCCTTCTGTGGACAAGCTTGAACTTCGTAGTTACTTCACACAGACTAATTTTTGTGAACAGCCAGTTGACTTCTTTATTTCCCTCAGGGGAGGCCGAACTGCAGATTCCTATATATGTCACCTTGCTCCAACCTACAACATCTTTAAAATCCAACCAGATTTTATACAGGAGCCAGGGAATCCCTCATCAGGCAAAGATAATTCAAGATGGCTGACCTTGCAGTGTGTGGGAGGGGGATGGCCATGACCACACTGCTGTGGTAATTCAAGATAGTGTGTGCAGGAAAGAGCACACCCTCGATGGTGTGGTCATTCAGGATCGCATGTCTGTGAGGAGAAAGGCTGACCTCACTTCTGTGATAACTCAGAATTGTGGCTTTTGTGGTATATGTAAGAGGGAAGTGTGTGTCCTCACAGCTGTGGTCATTCAGGATGATGTATGTGTCAGGGGAAGGGCACACCCACAATGTTGTGGCAATTCAGGTTGGCATGCAAGAGGGAAGGATGTGCCCTCAGTTCTGTGGCAATTCAGGATGGCGTGTATGGCAAGAAGTATGTGTCCCTTGCTGTGGTCATTCAGGATGGCTCCCTACATAGCTTTAAGACCCCCAAAATAAAAATCTTTGAGAAGGCTGGAGGGATGGTGCAAATATCAGTTTTCCGAAGTGTACTGCAGTGTATGTCCACGTTTGTAAATTCCATACATAGTGCCTGGCACCCAGCATCTTGAAAGAATAAAGGATATGTTTCATTTCCTCCTGCCAAACAGCAGGTAAACCCCTGTTGTCTGGTTTCTGTTGCAGCAGGGCTTTCATGAGCAGTGACCATCAGCTGACACCTACCCACCATGACCATCCCTGCCCTATAGAATTCCCTGCAATCCCTCCTCTCAGTCCATCACACTTTTCAGCTCTACACAGTAGGACTCTCCCTCCCAAGGGGTTTGCTTTATGATAGTTATTTATCTGATGTGGGAATCAGAATGATAGAACTGCCATGAAACCACAACCCATTTCACCCGGGCTATCAAGCAGTTCTCACAAAGTAATGATTTTGAGCTTTCTCCATTCTAAGGTGTATTAGACTAGACTTGTAAGGCTCTTTATCACTAGTCCTCTGACACGGCTTGTCCTTACACTTTGGTTTTCAAAGGCAGGAATGTATGCTTTCTACCACAATTATTTTTATTTTAGATTCTGGAAAATGTCATAGGAAGAACAATTACAAGCTAGGATTCTGTGAAAGTACAATGTGTGCAACTCTTCTGGCATATTTAGTGTCAGCTGTGCCCCCAGAATGGCAGTTGCTCCCACAGGCGAGCAAAATCCTGACTTGTAAAAGTTCAGTGTAAAAAAGCCAAAAA